CATGAGGCACGCCCAACTCTGCCGGGCAGAGCCTGGTGGCGCGGCTGGGAGAGGGGGGTGGTAGGGATCCTCCCGGTATTCCGTAGGGACAAAGGTATGTGGGAGCAGTGCTATAATAGGCTTTATCAGCATCTGCCAAGGGCACGCGGCGTCCAGCGTCCGTCCCCGGCTCAGGCCGGTGAGGTCTTTTCAGCATATTGTCCACCATGGGGGCCAGGCGCTCCCCTCTCTTACTAATTAGGCTTGAAAATTATTTTCTCATTAAGGCATTACGGGTTTAGGTTTTTTTTTTTAACACTCTACACCTGCAGGTCATAAATCCCACTGAGCACTCCAAGAGTAGTGATAAAAGCCTTCTAGGACCTCTTCTCCCCCTTCAAGGCTGGATTTGAAGGGGCAGATAGGCTAGGCTTTCTGTGGAGCTCAGTAATTACACTATTAATGGAAAAAGGAAGCTTAGTAAGACCTGCGCCAGCCCTGGTCTGGGAGGCTTAGTAAGACCCGACAGGGTCCCGGGGGGCCGATTTCCCCAGCCACCAGTATGGCAAACTTCAATCTTCCTCAAGCTTTAACCCACTCTTTTAAAAAAGAAGCCATGAGGCAGCCCGAGGGCAGATGGATGAGCCAGAACCGGGAGGCAACAGCCTCCATACGTTCTGCAGAGCGCATTTGCCTATCTTTGGAAATATTTAGTAAATTAAACCGTATTTCATGCTTTCAAGCCGTAGCTCATCATACCATATATGTCTGTGTTCCAGGAGGCGGGAACAAACTGGCAGAGGAACTGGTATTTTTGTAATGTCTTAACCCCAGAAGAGCTTCTTCTTACCTCCCTCCTCGGGGCGTTTAAGCCCATACAGGGCTGCTGACCTGACTTATGTGCCAAAATCTACAGGCTCTGGGGTCTAAAGCTACTGCCAGGACAAGTGGAGAAATTCAGATGTGCACACAGAGCTTTGGAAAGTGATTAAAAGACTCTTTGCTAGCGATCTTCACCGATTTAGGAAGGGCACAGCCACCTAGAAAAACGTGACTTCTACAGCCACAGGTCGGTCGGTGTCTTTCCTCAGGTACTAAAGCCACCAGCAGCTTGACACTCAAAAGCTAGAAGGCAAAAAACCCCTTTACCCCATGCGCCTTTAATCACATTATTGCTCACGGCTGAGCTTTGAGCCAAGGTTCACAATGAAGTGCATCAATAAAGCAGAGTCACGAAGCTGCGTGTGATCGCAAACTCCACCTTTGGGGGCTTTTTCCCCCACTTTTTTTTTTTTTTCTTTAGATTGCCCCTCATTAATGTCATCAGAAGGTAAATTCGGAGGAGACTTTTTTTTTTTTTTTTAAAAAAATAGTCCGAAGCTTTGGGGATGCTCCCGCTCTGCTCCATCGCACTTCTGCTTTATTGATTCGAGACCACCACCAGATGGGACACCTTGCCCCTTACCGAGGTAAGTGCCATATGTCACGTTTCTGTACTCATCCCAGGAGATAAATCCGTCTTGATTCATGTCAAACTCCTGCCACTGGCGTTCGACATTGTCATACACGTATTTCTTCTGGGCCTTCTTAATCCAGGCTTTCAGCTCCCCCTCCGTCACAAACCCATCCTTATCCGTGTCTATCTTATCTACAATCATTCTACAAAAACAAAACAGCAAGTTTCAAGTGCCGGCTCCGCAAAGTTTTTATCCCAAGAGTCGAGACCTACCTAAGATGTAGCCGTAGGTGGCATTTTTATATTCCTCCCAAGAAATGAGGCCGTCCTCATTGAGGTCGTGCCCTTTCCACTGCCGCTCTACATCCTCGTATATCCAGCGCTTTTGTGCAAACTTAATCCAGTCTTTCAGCTCTTCCACCGTTACAAACCCGTCTTTGTCTTCATCTATTTTACTTACAATCTTTCTGTAGAAAATGCAGAAAAATCCAGCAAAAGTTAAGGGAAACAAGGCTCTAGTTCGACCGGGCAGAGCATCTGAACTGGTGGCCAGCTACTCCTGGGTGCCGGAGTGAGCAAGTCAAGGTGTTTCTTACCAGGTCCCGGCAATTTCCCCACACGGACAGCTTGTCCTCAAAACCAACGTACGGTTTAGCCGCCAAAAACACCGGCTTGCTCACTCTCGGGCTGTTCAGGTTTGGTATTCTTCAGGGCGTCTTAGGGGAAAGCATTTTCTTGTTAGACCTTGGGAAATGGCCAGTCGCGCATCTTCCCACCTCGACAGTGCGCGGGGAGTTAAGCACGTATACGTACTTACATTAAAAGTGGGAAGATTGGGACAAAGACCGACCCTTGGCTTATTTGCACACCCAAGCCCAGCAAGGCAGAGAAAACCCTCGTAGGGCAGCGAGGAGAAGCTGACGTCGACGTCAGATCCCACCCGAGGACGATGCCCACCCGTTTACCGAGGGAGAAACCGGAGATGTGTGGTTTATGAAGCAGGGTGCGAGGCTGCGTGCCTTCTTTATTTTTAGCAGCAGCTGTGAAGAAAAGCCGCTGGGAGGAATGCAGAGATCCATAGGCAGATGCAGGCGAGCCGCGGGGAGGGGAAGGCAGCACGGTCAGCCCAAAACACTTCGTTTGGTGAACCAGGATATTTTTTTTTTTTTCCCCCCTTCCTTTTAACAGGAAGGGTCAATGTGAAACCAGTTCTCTTAAATTTGGTAATCCTTAACTCAAAGGCAGTAATTGGAGGAATTTTAAAAGCCAGTGTTTTAAATCACCACAAGACTACTAATTCTCAGAATATTGATGCAAAGCGAAACATCAGGTGCAAACCCAGCCTCGTCACACAGACGGGACACCGGAGTCACCCCACACTTAGCTCCCAGGTTTTGTTGTTCCATAACTGCTTTTAAACAGCAAACCCATGATTTCCTCTGTGGCACAAAAACCTGAATCGATAGCAGGGATAAGACCGGTAAAAATATTTCCTTTCCTTCTAGAAGAGTCTTTCAGCTCGATGCCGTACTTTACCTGTGGCAGATGGCAGCTCGCAGACTGTGCACCACGTTTCAGGGGCCTGAGTCATTTTACAGGCACATTTTAATAGTTGCTATTTCAGGGAAAGAATTCAACTTTTACGTATTGCATTGCCACTCGAGAGCAGGACAGCAATACCAGCAGGAGAGGACGCAAGGCTCTCGTGTGACAAGGCACGGCGCAGGTGAAAGCCTCCTCCTGCGCTGTTTGCGAACGGTTAAACTGCAAACACAAGAGTCGAGGACCGGGCCAAGCTGGGGATTCGCTTCCCAGGAAGGGTGGGCATCATCCTCCCCCAGCTTTATCACAAAGCAGCCTCCGAGGACTGGATCCCATCGGGAATTTCCCCTGCTGCTTCCTCGACCATAAAATCTGACCCATCCTGGCCTGATTAAAAAGGTTTCTGTGACACCAAACCCCACGGCGTCACCAGAACGAAGAGGTGGCAGAGCAGAGCAGCCAAGCGACAAGTTTTGGGCAGCGGCAGATCTCGTACAAAACCACTTTTCATCTCTTCAGCCAAGGCGATGAGAAATAGGCCACCAGCCGAGCTGTGAATCGCTCGGGCACTGGCACAGCTCGCTGCCCTCACAAGGATGTATTGGAAAAAAAACCCACAAAACCCTGGAATGAAGAACTGGAGCCTGCATCAGGGTGACTTTTCCAGGAAAGGTTTCTAGGTGGGGCAGCAGAACTTCAGAGGTTTAATTAGAAAACAGCTTCTTCGTTTAATTGCATTAAGGGAAAGCTAAACTCTGTCCCCACCTGGAGCCTGGGGCAAGCTTGGCACCGCTGGGGACACTTTGGCTGCTCCTAAACCTCTGCCTTCAGCTGGTTCAGCGGCTTAGTGCCAAAACCAGACGCTCACAGGCTGGATTCCCAGGGCAGAAGCCATAAACCCCGTAAGTTTTAATAAAAACCAGGGCAGTTTTGTCACCCTGCGTGGGGAGGGGGTGGCAGGGGCACCAGATGTTCTGTGATGGTTGGCAGCTGGAGTCGATGGGCTGCTTTGCTTTCCCACTCAAGCGTCCCAGGGAAGCAGGGGGATCCTGTTTGCTCAGCACTATTGCCAGGAAACGCACGGAGCGTTCCCCTAATTCAGCGGCCTTTAAAGAAAAACAAGGTCGAGCACAGGACAGTGTTCCAAAATCCTGGTCACCCCAAGAAAAAGGGAGGTGAGAAGGGCTGTAGGGCAACATGGAGCCAGAGCTCGCTCCCAGAAAACCAGCTCCTTTCAACAGCACAACAGTCATTAAAAAAAAAATCATTTACATAATTATGCATTCTTAACAAGTTTCTCAAACCAATTCAAGCTCAGGAAAGTGTGATGAATTTGCCTCCGATTAAAAAAAAAAAAAAAAAGCAAGCTGGTTTATGTCAAGGGCAAGAGCAGTTTGAAACAGCCTCGTTAAAACATCCGAGTGGAAACTCTTACCCCAGCCCCGCTTCCACTGCCAGCTTTTTCCAGTAGATAACTCAGCAGAACAATGAAATTAAAGCGCAGAGCCATGACAAAGCCTACGGGTCAGGAAAACAGTGCAGGGGGGAGGATCGCCGGCGTACTTCCCTTGCAAAAAGCCGCCCGGCTCGTCTCATTTTGCAGTTTGCAGACCGACGAGGGCCTCACTGCAATGGATTCAGTGGTCCAAAGAGGTGAGGTTTTTTTTCCAGTTTAAAAGAGTCCCCAGGGGAAAAAAAGAAACAGGCTCTAACCTCCTTTACAGCAGGCACGGCGTTGTTTCTGCCGAGCCTTTATCGAGAGCAGGCTGCTGGTGGAGAGGCCCGCAGATGGGTGCTAAAGCACGTGGGAGAGCCTGGCATCACCCTGCCCTGCAAATCCAGCCGCGTCCGTCTGGTTTACCTGCCTCCCAGTGGCATTTCTCTGAGCACCTACATGTGGTTAAGCTTTCCCTTCTCATCAAGGAGCCTCATTCCCCCCCAAAAAACTGTGCCCCCTTCCTCTGTTTTCATGGTGGTCTGCAGCAAGCGCTGCTCCACTGGCCATAGTGTGAGGTGAGATGCTCAGCTCTTGCACCAAAGGCGGAAAGCAGGCAACGCCACCAGTCTGCTGTCTTCAAAATCAGAAAAAAAACAGGCAACGTGGAAGAGTTAACGGGCGATCTGGACCATCACCAGTCAGTCCTTCAGCCCGACATCTTGAGGAACATCCCAACGGCAAGGTCAAGCTCACCAGGGAGGTGCCAGGCGGGAGCACAACCCTCAAGAGTCTCCAAAAAATGTCTCGTCAGGGCCGAACCTCCGAAGGTTTAAGCCTTTCTAAGCCCAACGTGAACAACTGCGCTGGCAGCTGCTGCCGGGCGCACAAAGGCCCACGCTGTAGTGCCGAGGAGCTGAGAGCGTCTCCGATAAACGCCCCGTTCTGATGTCTGCAGGTGGCAGGGGAGGCAGAGCGACCAAGCAGAAGTTAATTTTCAAGAGACGCTCTGTTTTCACTAACTCGTGGCTCTGCGCAGCAACCAGCTGCTTCTCCACTAGGGAGAATAACGTGGCAGGAAAATGCAAGTAATCCCACGGGCCTTCGGACTCCAGCGGTAACTGGAGACCAGTGAGCTCATTTAGCACGGTTTGAGTACGGCAAAGGGGAAAGAGATGCTTATTTTCACGTGTATTTTGTAGTTTTGGGGAGCATTTGGTGCTTAGAGGCAAGCGTGCAGAGTTGAAACGACTCAAGGTGACCTTGCAGGCTGACAGTAACATCTCCAGCGAGGAGAGCTGTGCATGTGCTGCATAACTTTGTCACCACCATTTGTGTTGGTCACTAAATTGCAGCTACCGCTGCCTTAAAAATGACATTTAAAAGGCTCTAGTTGAGACTACCTCTGCCACTCGAGGTGGAAGAGAACATTTATGAACACCGGGGTGACATTTACGGCCAGCGTAATCTACTACAGATTTGTTCTCTCTCAATCTGATTTTTATTTCGGCTCTTTTCCTTACCCAAGTCTCTCCTTGCTCTCCTCCGGCGTGAGCTGATCAAAGGTTTTGGCCTCATCCGCGCCAAGGAAAGCGTCATGGTCGTAGTCGAAGTTCTGCGCGTCATCGTGGACCTTGTCACTGAGCTGCGGGTCATGGTGAACCCGGTCCTTCTTCTCGGTGGGTTTGCTCGAGATGCAGAGCATGGAGAGAGACAGGCACAGGAGGAGCTGAGGGACGGTCATCGTGGTTCGGACACACCTACGGGACAGCGAGGGGAGGGGAAGTTAGGTAGCTCGCACCACGATGCCGGTTCCAGGGTCACAAACCAGAACTCTGACACCAAAACGGGGAGAGATGATGAATTAATACAGATTACCTGGTCAAAACGATGCAATAATACAGATTACCTGGGTAAAACGATCTTTGAGCCCTATGGCGCTTGCAGAACCCCTTATTCATAGACACCCCTCGCCCAGAGCAGCTCCCTGCTCCCAAACCCGCCCCACAAGCCCCAGCCGAGCCCCTTCACAGGGCAGAAAGAGAGCAACAACTGCGTTTGTTGGAAGCAGAGCCCGCTCGGCAAAGAATGCGAAGGATGCATGGCAAACACGCGCGGCGGATCGCCCGTTACGCGGTCCCGGCCAAGCCGGTCACCAGCCGTGCCGGCTGCCTTCTGCTCTCACGTCCTCCTGCCCAATTCCCCCCTCCCCCCAAAAAAACCCTCCTCCTTCCCAGGGAGGTATCTCATTCACCCGACGGCTTCAGACACTCCTCCAGGAGCTCTGATACCCTGATGCAGATGGAAGCCTCACCCACACGTATTTCACCGTGAATTCAAGTCCCACTGGGCTCACGACACCCATCTGGAACCCAATCCCAGGGGCCAGGTGGGTGACAGACACGCACGACGACAGAGACGCTCAGCATGTGGTGATTTATCACCCAGATCGTCTGTCCGGCACTCGCGCAGTAACGCTGCAGCATCAGGGACGGTCACGGCCCCCGTCCGGGTGGAAAACACAGGATAAAAACAGAAGAGCCGCACTCTGCAATCAAAGAAGGCTCTCAGAAGTATCCCCCATCCTTATCTCTTTAAGCTAACTTTAAATCAAGAAGCTAACCTAGGTATTCTCCAGCACGCCCTCCCACCTCTCCAGCAGTGGGATCAAGCGGCTTTACTCTCTCCACGCAGGCAGAACTCCACTTGCGCCGCCCTGCCTGAGAAAATTCATAAAATCATGTTTTACCCTGTAAAAACCAGAAGTAAGAGAGTCCGTGCAGCTAAAACTACTTGCAGGGGTTAGAAAGGAGTAGCAGGAGTAATAAAAGTATCCTATTACTAAAAAATAGTAATAGAATAAAACAAGGAGAGTTGCTCGTCTGAAACGTTACTCGGGAGTCGGTGAGGTCAAGGGATTCTTTTTATTTAAAATCAACCACTTCACCAATATTTGCCTAAAACGATGCAGACAGCAGGGCAAGGAATCCAGCGAGACCCACCCCACTCCTCCCCGTCACGCCCAAAGGATTTATCCGCCCAGTGTTTGTGCCATAGGAGAACCTTCAGTGAGGAGAGCAGGCATCAGGGCCGCTCATCCCACAAAATAAAAGCTCCCGGACAGATTTGAGGGTTGTTTGATCTTTAACATCACCGTAACCGTGTGTTGAGAGGTCAGGAAAAGGGATGAAAACAGGTCACGCTCTAAGCTGTCCTCCCCCTGCCAGGAGCAGGCAGAGCGACGCAGGGCTGAGGCGAGGCGGCGGCAGCGGCTGGCGAGCGAAGGAGAGAAGCCAAACCCCGAGGAGGCGAGACCATTGCCAGTTTCCCCTGTCGAGAAAGCTGGAAACCACCGCTCCCTCCGCTGGGGGGAAAAAAGGGAGGGGAAAAAAAAAAAAACAAACAAGGAAAAAGAGGCGTCTCACTGCCACGACTGCATCCCCCAACGTGGGGATCTCAAAGGGAGAGCCAGCGCTCTGCAGCGGGATGAGGGATCCGGGCTGTGAATTCTGGTCTTGTACATGGGAAACGCATAATAATGCCTCGGGTTTTGGGCCACTAATTAGTCTAAATAAAAAGGAAGCTTGGGCATAGTTTAGCTGAAGGAAAAAGATGCTGGAGCACCGGAAAGGACGGCTGGAGCACCGGAAAGGACGGAAGAGCTGGAAGAACAGCAGCTTTCCTCAACCCACATGTAATTTCTGCGGCACAAGCCATCGGTGTAAACCCCTGCCGCCTCGGAGGATCTGGGTTTTGATCGGTACAACCCGCTCCAGCGGCAGGGCCCGGCAAACCTCAGCCACCACCTCCCGTGGAAGGAACCAGGATCACACCGCGACACAGACAGCCGAGTTTAGAATAAAACAGACACCGCAGAACGCAGTAACGCTTCCCAGCCGGCTGCGGAGGGCCGACAGCCCGCCCTGTGAGCGCAGACCCTCACACCGCTCCTGCCGACAGCGTACCAC